TATTTGATGAGGGTGCCTGGGTAGTTCAGTTGGTTAAAGATCCAACTCTTGGTTTCAGCTCAGGTAATGATCTCACATTTGTGCATTTCCACATGTGCGGAACCTGCTTGGGATTCTTTCTGCCTCTCTCTCTGCCCCTTCCCCATCCATGCATGCTCTCTCTCTCTCTCTGTCTGTCTCAAAATAAATAAATAAACATTTAAAAACATTATAAATAAATAAATAAAGTTTGATGAATGAATAGATTAATGAGAACCAGGATATTTTTTTTAACTATGGAGACAGTCCAAAATACAGGTCCAGCACCAGCTCTGCCTAGAGGCATGGAAAGGCATATCTAGCATTAGGAGGGTCTGTTCAGAGAAGTAAAGTAGAACACACTACATGGAAAGAATGGTGACAAAGAAGCAATCAAATCCCAGGTGAGAAAAATGTGACAGAAGATGGGCAGGACATGGCAGGAAGGCAGTCTGTTGTAGGCAACACACAGAAATCCAGGCAGTGCTGACTATCTCAGTGAACTCTCAACTGTGAAGGCAAGCCCTCAATTTCTAGAAAGAAGGGTCAGGGGAAATATTGGCTTTATGGGGAGAAAGATAGTGGACGTACAAAGGACTCTAAGGAAGCTGGGCACTGAGTGGAAACCAGAGAAAACCCAGAGCTGGAAACCAGAGTAAGTCTGTCAGACTATACCTATGTCTTTAATCTCAGCCCTAGATCCCCAGTGTTCATAGATATCAATGCATTGCTGGCTGTAGTTCAAGATCCATGGTGTCAGTTTTCAAACAGATTTCCTCCTTTTCTTAATTCCTTTTACCCTGTCCTCCTCCTCCCTGCTGGCCATCACCTGTGTTTTGTTTCTAGCACTGTAGTCTTACAGTCTCTATGACTCAGTCGTTTACTCCCAGTCACCATCCTATCCGTTAGTACCAACTCATGACTTACTGAGTTTAGCCTACTCCATGAATAGGATTATTTCAAGTTAATCTACTAGTATTAAACAGTTCAAGGTATGTGCTGTGAAGAATAGATATCTAATAGATACAGAAGTATCAATTAATGAAAGAAAAACTCTACTTATCTCTGAAAACACTGCTGATCAACCTAAGAGACTTGAACTTCAGTTATAGTCAGAGATATGCATTTCATTAGTCAGGTGGAGGATTGGAAACTCTGAACTCTCTCATGATTTTCTCTAAATCAAATAGCTTCTAGGAATATTGACAAATAAAATATTTGTCACTCTTCTCCTGGCATCCATAGAAAATATCTGAAATATTGGACAAGCATTTTATACCACAATACAATGTAACAAATCCCAAGCATTAAGTGTATAGAATTAAACTGAGGATTTCGGATCTGCCTTATGCTACAAAATCTGAGCACATGCCTAATACCATGGCAGTAGGTACTGTTCTTTTTTTTTTTTTATATAATGTTTTATTTATTTCTAGGAGAGAGAGAGAGAGACAGCGTGAGCAGGGGAGGGTCAGAGAGAGAGGGAGTCACAGACTGAAACAGGCTCCAGGCTCTGAGCTGGCANTCATCAAGACAGATCTCCACCTTCATTTTTTTTTCTTTTTTTTTTTAAAGTTTTATTTATTTCTAGGAGAGAGAGAGAGAGAGAGAGAGAGAGAGAGAGACAGCGTGAGCAAGGGAGGATCACAGTGAGAGGGAGCCACAGACCGAAACAGGCTCCAGGCTCCGAGCTGGCAGTCAGCACAGAGCCCGACGCGGGGCTCGAACCCACGAACCGCGAGATCATGACCCAAGCGAAAGTCGGACGCTTAACCGACTAAGCCACCCAGGTGCCCCAGGTACTGTTCTTAATTCAGGCCTCGCTGTCTCTCTTGAGTCCATGGATCTGTGACCTAGACGTTGCCATAAGGTTAACAGTAATCTCTGTTTCCCAAGCTTTGCATTGTGAGAACTCACTGAGATTATCTGTGTAAAGTACAACACAGAATTTGGCACTCAGTAAGCTATTGGCTCATTCATTTATTGATGCAACAAATATTTCTTCCTGGGAATACTTCCTAATGTGCAAAACTAACACTATGGTCTTATGCTTTAATCTAATCTAGAATATGCGATATACATACCATAAAAATTCACATGCAAGCATGTGTATATACAGATCTACTTATCTATCCTTCTTTCTATCAAGATAGAGAGAGCATATGTGTTCATTTTAGGACTAGAATATTTGTAACTGCATACTCTTACTCCTTGGTTATCTTTAAAATTACTTAAAGAAAAGGAAAGAAGAAAGATGGGAGAAGGAAGTGAGATGGAGAAGAAGGAAGAAGATAGTGAGAAAATATTAATCCAATCATATTTTGAAATGATTCCAATTTTTATTTTCTATACAGTCTGGGTTTGTTTGTTTTAACTAATTGATACACATTCTAATTTTCTTGGTTTTTCTTTCCAACTTCTCAAATATTTTCCATGTATAACTTTAGAGAGTATGCAAAAATATATAGTAGAAAAGCTAAAGAAAGAGGAAACAAAATGACTTTATAATTATCAGTTATCACCATAGCCCATTAGGGCCCTTGGTGCACAAGCCTAAAAGGGCCACTCTCTTTGGCAAACTATATATATTCCGCTGACCTTGGCAACCAAAGTGCAGGATGCTGCCTCAGGCACAGAAATCATGAAGGAAAAATAATGGGTAAAATTAAACGAGGGCAGTGATAACCAAAAAATAGGAGAGCAAGAAAACTATTCCAGGATCATTTCAATCTACTTAAAAGAGTAGGGTGACATAATCATTATAATCAATGGAAAGATATCCTTTCCTCTAGAATCAACCACGGCTAGAAACCAGGCAAATAGTTAATAAGTCTTGCTCAAAGAAAAGAAACAAGCAAACCAAGGCTGTCTTACCTGAAAGCTCTCACCTGTTCTCTTGCTACTTAGATATTAAACTTATAGTATTACCTAGTAAGATATGTCCTTTATTGTCACAGGAAAGGCACAAGCATTTAGTTTCTCCCTTACCCCTTCTTTTTCTGTAAAAGTAGCATAACAATTTTTTAATGGATTAATTGGCAAATGGTCTTGACACATCCACTTGTGCACACACAAGCTCTCATTAGGCATGGCAAATGCTAAAGGACATGTAGAAACTAACTGGCAAAAATTCCAACATGTGGCATGTGCCCTTATAGAAAATTTGCCCAGTGTGGCACGTGTGCAACTGGAGACTTATCTTGGGAAAAGCATGGTATTCCTCTCGAGAAGTATATTGAAAATCTTCGATTATATCACCCAACAGAGGCTTGCATACAGAAAGGTATGTCAAAGTGAATGATGCATTAGAAATATTTTCCAGAAGAATACATTCTTTTTCTTTTTTTTTTAAGGTTAGTTATTTATTTTGAGAGAAAGAGAGAGAGAGGGAGGGAGCACTCTGTCAGCACAGAACCCGACACAGGGTTTGAACTCTCAAACTATGAGATCATGAACTTAGCCAAAATAGGATGCTCAAATGACCGAGCCACCCAGAGGCCCCAATCAATCATTTTTCTGAGGCCCGCCTATGATCTTAAACTTTTCCTATCACGTTGCAGAAGGATAAATATTCCAATTCAAAAGGGAGTATCTACTTTGTATGATGCTTGTATATAGTCTTCCTAGAAGAGAAAGTTGAGACATTTGGGGGATCTTTCTACTAAATTTATGGCCAATGATTAAAGTAAGGAAGAAAAATAATTAGTAAGGTTTGTAATATCTTTGTTTCTTTGTTTCTTTCTGCCTTTATGCCTTCCTGCCTTCCTTCCTGCCTGCCTTCCTTTCTTTGCTTCCTGGTCTCAAAATGAATGAACAGCTTTCCTTTGATTAGACACCTCAGTTCAATATTTAGTGTTTGTATGTATTGTTTTTCTGTTGAAAAATTACATGCATAAGATTTTATGCTCAAATATACCATCGAAAATGCAAAGATGAAAAGTAAACAGCCTTTCCTCATAAACTAATGCTTGAAAGCTAGAGTTTGTATAAATTTTGCAAACCAGAGTGGCAGACTTTTCTATATTAACATCTGTCTTCTGGGGAGAAAAAAGCCTAAACTTCCACCATTCGAGTACTACAAGTAAGGTATGATCCTCCACTTAAGCAAGACTATGTATGATGGAGACTATGAAAACTGCTTAGTCCAGACCATGACTTGGAGAGTTTAGAAGTCAGGTATTTAAGAATCTCGGACAAATAGAAGAAGAAAAATAGAATTGGCTGATTCCTATAGAAAAGTTGATATCTTGCCATGCTTGCTTTTCTTAGAAGGAAGTACATTTCCTCTACTTCTGTAAATGTCATTAAGGAAAAAAGAGTTAGCAAATAAATACACCAAATCTTGGAGCTCATACATAGCCAACCTTGAGTTTTCCATTTCTGACATTGAGTTCCTCATCCTGAAAACCACATGTATGTTTATAGGTTTTTGGTTGAATAATAGAAGATTAAGAGAAAATCCTTGCTCGTATTTCTAAAATCCCTTGATTCTAGGATTATTGTTTTTCTGACCTCTCCCTTCTTTTCTGTGATGTCAAGGCCAAATCTTTTCCACCTGGAGGCCCTTTGGAACATCCTCATAATTCCAGGGAGAGGTTCCTGTTTATCCAAATCTTAACATAACAAGGAAGAAGACCGAGCCCGTGATGACCCAACCCTATTGCAGTTCAAAAGTAGAAAGATAGGTTCAGAGGGCAGACAGAGTTCTACAGCAGATGCACTTTGGTAGGGTGTGGAGTATGCAGAAAGAGACTTGCACACGTAAAGAAAGCCCAGAAGTGTTCACTCATCAACTCAGCAGCCTTTGCAGTCAACATCTGCCATGACATCTATGTTTATGGCCATGGTAACTGCCCCATGTCAAAAGGATTATTTCACTGTCACAACTCATTAAGGGCAAGCCTTGTTAAGAGAAAATTTAGGGTTGGACTTTTTCTTTTTTTCCAGCTTTATTGAGGTATAAAATTCATCTTGCGTAACTGAAAAGTAGGGAAGGCTTCACAAATCTGTGTGCCATCCTTGGCAGGGGTCATGCTAATCTCTGCATGATTCCAATTCTAGTATGTATGCTTTCAAAACAAGCACCAGGTTTGTTTGGATTTTTATTTGAGGGGTTTCTATTTTTTCAGTTATTATTTTGACATCCTCTAGCTCTGAAAAATCATAAAATCCCAAATTACCAAGTGAATATGCTCTTTGAGAAAAATAAAGTTTAACATCATAGTAACTATTCCTTTATACTGAACAGAGTTGTTTCTTAAAACAGAGCATGCTGATTTAATTATTGCATAATTATTGTTTTTAAAATTTCTGACAATACTAGTTCTCTGTTCTAATACTCTTCTTTAAATATTTCTCAGCTTATCATTTATATTTTCTTCCAGATAAAACATTGAATCATTTCATCAAGTTTCTCACCTTAGGAAAACACCTCTAATTTATTTCTCTCACCTAAATATATTCCAGTCTTGAGTTAAATATAAATATGCAAACCAGTATCAGAAACAATTAGAAGGAAACATTATTGACAATCTCTCACTTCTAGGCAGAGAAGAACTTTCTAGGCATAAAAAGCAAAAGAAGAAGCACAAGATGAAAAGATTGGCAGACTAGATCTCACTGCTTTTGGCCTTCTCCCATTTTCCTGAATTAGTTTTACTAGCTAGGTCATCTTGGGCAAGTTACTTATCCTTTCTGTTCCTTTGTGTCTTATCTATGAATTTGAGGTATAAACTGAATCATGATGAGTTTATGGAACACCAACTGTATGAAATATCAGGCAGGCATTTAAAAACATACTGAAGAAGCATAGGGATGAAAAACACTTATGTAATCTTCAAAAGTAGTGTGGTATAATCATAAGAATAGACTCTGGTGCTGAACAAGCCTGGCTTGTAAGTCTGCCTTTGCCACTTTAGTAGATCTGTGACTTATATATGATGATAGCAGTTTAAAGGGTTGTTTTGAGAGTTAAAAATAGCAGAGGCTAGAGTACCAAAATTATAATTTCATTGTCCAAAACAGTAAACCAATCATCCAAATTCTGATGCAATCCAACGACCACCATTCATGCCCAATCAGTTCCTCCCAGACCAATCATCTGTCTTTGTTTAATTTTTCCTCATAACTAGGTTACTAGCACCATGATCTACTCCTAAAAACATGTAAACCAGATAAGAAAGCAACTTAAAAAAAGGAGAATTTTTGCAATGCATAAGACCAAGTATTAATGCCTTTATTATACAAAAAAAAAAAATGTCTCCTAAAAATCAGTATAAAAGATTATCATGTTTGGGTTGCCTGGCTGGTTCAGTTAGTGGAGCATGCAACTCTTGATCTTGGGACTGTGGGTTCAAACCACACGTTGGGTATAGAGATTACTTAAAAATAAAATCGTTAGGGGTTCCTGGGTGGTTCAGTCAGTTAAGTGTCTGACTCTTGATCTCAACTCACATCTTGACCTCAGGGTCATGACCTCCCGTATTGGGTTCCACATTGGGCATGCAGCCTACTTAAAAAGAAAAAAAAATCTTTAAATATATATATTTTTTAAGTTTGTTTTTATTTTTGAGAGAGATAGGGATAGCATAAGCAAAGGAGGGACAGAGAGAGAGAGAGAGAGAGAGAGAGAGTCCCAAGCAAGGTCCATGCCATCTCCAGCAGGTCCAGGGGTCCCTGAAGGAAGGAGGGTGTCCGGCAAGAGAGAGATGAGAGAGCTATGAGAATCTTTCTTGTCACCAGCCAGGCATCTCCACACTGTCTGAGACTCAACTTTGTTTTATGATTAAGTGTTTGGGGTATGGCACAGAAGTGGCATTCTGATGACAAATTCTTTGATCAGTAGAAATTCTCCAGAACATTGATATGCATAACCTTATTATTATGATTCAGATAAGAGAGCTCATGCTCATCATATGAGGAAGGAAGATATCTTTAGCATTCAAATACAAAGAGGATAATGTTTTTAGCATGGTAAAGGCAAAGGTTAATTCTTTGTGAGCAGGGGTCAATAGCCTGTTTATCACTTACTGGGAAGTATTAAGAAAAACAGGTTTTTCAGGAAATGCAATGTTTGCTCCCATAACCACAAAAAACGTTCCTACAGTAAGTTCCTTTACAAGGTGCAATCAGCATATCAAGGCCAGAATAAGTCACTCCTAATAAATCAACAAGGTGCCTTGGGGGTTGGTGCTCAAGCAGAATCAGTTGAGTGGGGATGGGGATAGGTCATCATCTGATGGCAGCAAAAGCCTTGCAAACTTGCCTTAACCCTCACAAGGAGTTTTCTCAACTAGTGAGTTCAGAATAACTTCCAACAAGCACAGAGCTGGATGCGGGGCTCGAACTCACGAAACCATGAGATCGTGACCTAAGCCAAAACCAAGAACCAGAAACTTAGGTAGCTGACTGAGCCACCCAGGCACCCTGAAAGAAAAAAATCTTTAAAGGAAAAAAAATATGAGCATGTTCAATACAAAAAAAGTGAGTAAATAACTAGCAATTCATACAAGAAGATATACAAAGGATGGAGAGAAAGATGTTAGTTTTATTTGTAATTTTAAAATGCAAATTGAAATAAGAATATACTATGGTTCACTAATCAGCATCAGGTATTAAAAAGAATGACAGTACTCAGTGTTGCACACAGTAAGGGCATATTAGTGACTATTGCTGAGTTTACAAATTGGTACAACTTTTTTGGAAGACAATTTGATGATATATTCAAATATCTATATTAAAAGCTTAAACTGGGTGCCTCTCTAAATACATAAATAAATAAACATAAAAAATTAAATTAAAGAAATAAAAGCTTAAATTGTCTTTAGCCAAATTGAAGGAATTTGACCAGGAATATCAGACACAACTATAAATATTTATGTACATAAATGTTCATTACAATATTTTATAATAAAATGAAAAAATAACCTAAATTTCTGCCACTTGGAGAATGGTTAAATATGTTATTTCCATCTGTTTGACTATTATACTCCTAAAAATCATGACCTTGAGGGCCATTTAAAGAATGAAGAAATATTGTAACTTAAATGGACTATAAAGGTTATATATTATATTTCTTACACTATTCCAATCCTGAAAATGAATCGCTTGACTACACAAATATACACACACACACGCACAGAAAAACAAGAAAAACACAATAATGTAGTAACAGTGGATATCTTTACATGAAATTTAGATTTGTTATTTAATTTTTTTTATTATTAGTATTGTCTGAAGTTTCAGCAATGAGAATTTATTTACTATTTATAGGTTAAGAACAAATACAAAGTTTCTTTCTCCTTCTAGAAAATGATTGTTTCATATAAAAGTGATATTTTTCTTCTTTCTATTTAAAATTTTTTTTTAACATTTATCCATTTTTGAGAGACAGAGAGACAGGGCATAAGAAGGAGAGAGGCAGAGAGGAAGGAAGACACAGAATTTTAAGCAGGCTCCAGGCTCTCAGCTGTCCACACAAAGCGTGATGTTGGGCTTGAGCTCACCAACCGTGAGATCATGACTTGAGCCGAAGTCGGATGCTTAGCCAACTGAGACACTCAGGCGCCCTTCTTCTTTCTATTTTAATTTAATTTTCCAAATGTTTACAAGAGAAATATAAATTTAAAAAAAGAAATAATTATTTTATGTCTAAAAGGACCTTGGTGATGAAACAGTCCATTTTTATAGCCTGAGTGCTGACATGTATATAAAATAGAACTTAGGATACAAGCACAATAAAAAGACTAAATAATGAATCAACAAATGCAAAAATATTATATCAACAGTACAGAAGGATGATCCAGTTCCAGCTGGGTAAGCTTTTGGTTAGATGCAGGCACATTTACCACTTCTACTGAGGTGAGCTGATGTACCAAGTCCTGTCCTCCACCTGTCCAGGAAACAGACAGAGAAAAGGGGTTTGGAATGGAAAGAGCAAGCCCATTTGATTCACAGTAGCAAGTACTGTTCAGTGAACTGTCTGATTGCATACTGCTAATTTGAGTTAGAAATTGAGGCAAAGGGCCCAGGAATAACTTAAGGAAATGGGCAAGCCCTACACAACCAGCATGTGCAAGCCCTTCACCTCTGAGACCAAATAGTAAAATCAACATATCTGTGTTTTTTCTTAATTCTTTTGTTTTTAATTTTTTTTAATGTTTTATTTATTTCTGAGAGAGAGACAGACAGACAGAGTGAACAGGGGAAGGTCAGAGACAGAGGGAGACACAGAATTTGAAACAGGCTCTAAGCTCTGAGCTGGCTGTCAGCACAGAGCCCGATGCGGGGCTCAAACCCACGAACTATGAGATCAGAACCTGAGCCAAAGTCGGAAGCTTAACCGACTGAGCCACACAGGCACCCCTGGTTTTTCTTAATTCTAATGGGCTATGATGTTATATGTTGTTTCATAATAAATTAATTTACATATATGCAGGAAATTCCTGTCTTCGAATTTCATTCTGAAAAAATATTTGACCAAAATGAAATTAATAGCAAAAATTGTCGATGACTAGTTATCATATAAAGACATAGCAAAACAGCCACCACATTGTAATTGTGGCTGTGGTTCTTAAAGAAAAATTTCTTAATGTTATCCCAAAATACCACATGATCCTCTTTATGAGGGAAAACCCCAAAGCAGGCAGCAGGCAGCTAAGGCAACAGCACTTACAAATCCCTTTATTTTAGTTCTTAAGTGCTGAGCCAAAAGCATTGTGATAAAATCTTCAAACTTGGCCTCTTGGTCCCAGCATGACAGCATTCAAAGATTTTAACAAGGTCCACATTAAAAACTGTGGTCACCTGCATAATTTCTCTAGGAGCTTGCCTACTAATCTTACCACTCTCTAAAGTAATTGTGAAACTGATGGTGTGTGTAGTTATTTCTAAAAGCCCCAAGACAGTAATTATAATATAAGGGTGGGTGGATACGTATAATTTGAGATTTTAACTCAAGATCCCTATCTAGAGGGGCGCCTGGGTGGCTTAGTCGGTTAAGCGTCCGACTTTCGCTTAGGTCATGATCTCCCGGTTCGTGGGTTCGAGCCCCGCGTCGGGCTCTGTGTTGACTGCCAGCTCAGAGC